ATATCAGATACAGAAGTTGGTAACGGTGGTGCAACCTTCCGTCGAAGGGAAGAAATGATGGACTTGCTTAAGCCATGGATTATCTCAGTAATTAGCGCAGGATGACAAAATTCAGTAGTACGATAAACACAGATTATGGGCACTTGAAAACATCAGAGTTGGATTTCATCAACGTCAACAGAGTTTAGTTTTGTGGCACATCATGCACCCGAGAAATTCGAAAGATGACGCAATTATTTGCTAGTTTGTGAAAACTGAATTTCCACCCAGACAAGTATATTCACATAGTAGACGAGACCCTTTTGACTCCTTAGGCTAGATGTGTAACAAAATTATGTGATCTATCATCTTACTAACCATATCCGCAAACTTATCCGAACAGAAATAATAAATTATTCTTGGGACTCAATCTATTATGCCTAACTAAATTTCAGTTGTCAGGTCCCGTGTCTAAGCACCGGCAATATACACGAAAATTCCACATGTGTTAGAGCGGAGGGATCATTTACGTACCTCCTCTAGTCGTACTAGTCAACACAAACGCAAAAGTATTATTTTCTCCGATGCTTGATGGGCTTTTGTACCACTAGTCCGGATTAAATTATGTTAAAGGAGTTCCGTTTCACTTGGTTTTTCCTGAGTCCTATGTAGAATGGCGGTGGCCCAGGTAAAATCTTTGGTATTAAAATACAGTACCAACCGTGACAAATATTTCCGAAATATCAGAAAAAAAGTTGGCGTAAATTTTTTCAACTTGAGTGGATGACAGCTAATGATTCCGTACATTTTTAGCCTCCTAGTGTGAGTATTCTAGTGATCTACGATTTAACTGTCCTATGTATAGGCGCAAGATCCAGTTTGCAGTAACAATTTGCAACACCGTTTATCTTTACTGCTTTGTACAGTCATAGAAAAACGCTCGATTTTGATGTCGCTGTGATGCAATACGCGTCCCGATTCAAAAATATTAGTATCAATGGACAGGTTTTAATCATTTGCTTTATGCGCTCACAGCTCACAAACATTTTGCAGGATAAAGCCGGTTTGGACCATTAGTATTATACACAGAGAACTTGTTTTTCACTTTGGTCTGGTTCCGCTTTCCTTGGTGCCTAAGCGATAATCTAGCCAGGTAGCGATTTAAGCCCAAACGGTGACTACCTTACTGTTGAGGCTAGCATTGCTTGCTGCACGTTGCACGGCGAAGAAACCGGGCAGTAAGGTGCTGTCTAACTATTATGTCCTCAGTTGAACGTTCTGTGACAGCGTCAGCAACTTATCGTCACCCGACTAGTGCACTTTGCTTCCAAATGTATGATAACAAAAAGTTCTAGAATACCGATAGTTCCCTACTGTTTGCTGCTTGTTGATTGGGTAGACGTTTCGTGCCTAATGGACTTCCAAACTCTTCGTAAATCTTGGCGGTGCGCATTGATGGTGGAAACGTATGGAGGAGTGTTCCATATAAAAATCTTGGCTAAAATAAAATTCGAAGAGCCGTTCTAATGAGTTATATACTATTATTTACGGCATCAGACACGGCTTCGGTGATCCCATTATGTGCGCAAGAAATAGACTTATAAGCGAAATGGTTTTAAAGTGCGCAATATTGATATGAGCGCCACAGGGTTGGGTTGTGAATAACTTAGGCAAAATTTCCATATTTTCTCTGAGTTTTTAGGAACATGGAAATTCATTCAGTTTCATAAGACAAAAAGTGCCGCGAAATGAACTCGGAGCTTCCTGCCAGTGGTGTACTCGTAAACACCATGGATAATTCAGAGTGTGCATTTAGACATCGCAAGCAGCTGAACCATTAGTTGCATCTCATGCCGCGGGTTCAGACAGAACTCCGAGTAATTGGGATGATAAGGCATTGGAAAAATTATTATCAGCACGTTAATCTACGCAGGTAAGTGGCGGATTCTAGAATGCAAAAGCTTGATAGCAGAAGGCAAGCGAATACACACCATAAGCAGATGCACACCACAATGCACATCATAAGCAAACTTCGGTGATCCCATTATGTGCGCAAGAAAAATTGAAGTTTGAATGAGATATTTTATTTTGAATTTAATGGAACTTTTCAACTAGTATACCCTTATCATGATCTGTTATTTGTGTGTTCATAAACCCAGATCTGAAAGGAACAAACGTAAAAAATCATTTGCGACAAACCGGAAAGCGGAGAAATTGGATGGCGTTTTGGTGACGTGGCCTAGCAATGGATTTTGTTCTAAGAATCGGTGGGCTTATCTGGCCTACAGCGTATGAGGCCAGCAGAACGGTTTGGTTAGATGGCCCGGTTAGTTGGTTGATATACAGTGGGAAAGTGATAGCGGAGCGAATTATAATAGGGATGCGGATCGGCGCACCACAAATTCCCAAGAACATCAGAAGAATAACACTGAATATAAAGTGCACTTGACAAATCAGAATGCAGGAGGAATCCGAGAAGTGACACTGAACGCAAAAATGTCAGTCAGTTCTGAGTAATAGAACTACTGAAATAGGGGCTGTCGACGGACCAATTAAATGCACGAGCATCAGTCGACAACGTTAAATAAATTCTAAATAGACCAATCAGCCGATCTAGCAACTAGGCGCAGCTCCTAACATTCACAAAAACATTGTGAAAGTAAAGCTGGTTGTGGTAATTTGTATCCTACCTATGCAAAAGTTGCTGAGAAAATCGAAAGCATTCCATTTGTCTGGCAGATGAACTTAGTCGGCTGTGCAATTTTAAATTTCAGGTTTTACCACTTACCTGCCATGAACGTTTGGTAAACTGTGAAAGTAAATAACAGGTTAGCATTTCTGACGCTTGCGAAATGTCTTATTAAATACAGTTTGTTCTCAACGGCCTCATGAAGTACAGTGTTGTTCCCATTATTTTTAGAGCGTATACAATGGAGACAGTAGGGAACGTATGCCATTGGTTCCAAGACTGCGGTTTTCTTTTGGACTGTAGTGCTGCATTGGCGGTCCCGTTTTTGTTTCGGCAGTTATTCAGTAAGCCTTAGGCAGCGGGCGAACCTTGGCTGTGACGGGAAATCGCCAACGGAGAAAATGGCAAAAGAAGCCTACATGAAATGCCACTCACGCAGAGGGGCCATTGATGATGTACTGAGATGCAATGCCTGCCTGTAGTCTTCATCACTGCGCAGCCCACCAGCCAGTGATGGGACGTAAAACTACGATCGCCTGGTTGGTAGCTGAACACTAAGAAATTCATGTGTGGATGGATGGTCAGAATTGTGAGCAGAGACATAATTCCATCAGCTTCTTGATTTTATTTTACAGACGCTAAACAGTGCTCGTTTGGATGGTGCTTTGGGTTAGTGATTCACTTCCATGCCAAAGAAACGATGAATAGAGGATGTACTCAGAACAAGGAAAGAGATTTTTCTACTTTGTTGACGTCAGCGTGCTGCGTTACGCGCGGTGTCTTCGCTCTCGCAGAAGCAATTCAATATAGTCTACTTGCGTCGGCGAGAGTAGTATGGGAGTTTTAGCAAAACACCAACCCATCACAAGTTTTCATACACGGTCCCCAGTATTTGGGGCATTCAGGAACCTAATTACGGAGAAGCTCACAGGAACTTGAGGCTAGAACACCTCACATTCTGGGTGCTGACCAAAAGTTGGGGGGGGGGGTGGTATATAAAATCGGTTACAAATTAAGCTACTTGAAAGTTGTCGTGTAACTTCACTCAAGTAGAATTTGGTGTTAAATTTTAGAACTTCGCAGCAGTTGATGAACCTGGTGAAGATCAACAAAGAGCACTGTGATAGACCCTTGGTGCTTGTCTAAGACATTATTAAGCTGACATTTAGGAGCCTCACTTGAGATCGGTAATTCAAACCTCATGATTGACACTAATCGGAGGAAGATCGGAACGCAGTCAATGTTGGAAACTCGCCTGTTTCAAGATTTTTTCCTGCTGACTCAAGCAATCGGCAAATTTGCTGCACAGTATGGTTCGCTTTATGCCGTCAGTTTCATATTTCGTGGAACTAACATAATCGGCGAGGAGGTATGCGGTTTTACTTGTGGTCCTAGTGCTTTAAATTCGCCCACTGAAGATGCCAACTCTGCTACTGATGGAAGATTTGTGTCCTTTTCGCCTATATTACTGGATATGCATGCTAGATTTTTGGGTCATTATGTTTCGGAACTCATCAAGAGATCGTAGAATTCCAATCGCTGCTGGTTCGCAGAACTGCGTGATTGCGTAGATTAGTTTGATAATTGAGAATATATTTGGCACTTTTGGCTTCAGATAGTTATTCTCAATTATGCCTTTCTTATAGGGACAACAAATCCGTATGCTGCATTACATGGGATGGCTTCCGAGAAGTCCATTGCCCCTTGATTGATCAGCTGATCGCACTCCACAGGCTACATGGACTAGGCCATGTACGTCGTATACCGGAGTACCGTTAGCCTCGTCCAGTCCTCGTTGCAGTCCACTGCTATAAGTTGAAAGTGATGCAGAGGTGGTCAGTTCATGACTGAGTGAAAAAGCAAGAAAAGCCCTCTAGCCCGGAGGCCATGTTAGAACGGCTTTGAGACAGCGGGACGACACGGACCAATAGTTACTGACATCAACAGCGATGGCTCCATCACCCAGCAATTGATCCTCTTGTAATAAAGCTATCGACCTTAATGCGCAGATCCGACATCTGGGGCAGAGATTCATTTGTCACCAATGCTAATTTTAAAAATGCCACGGCATGTGCGGGTTGGAAAATTCAGTGTTTTTTAATCCTGAAGGTATACGAACGAAGAATAATCAGTGAAAGCATCCACCAAAAATCAATGTCATCATATGGTAATTCGCGCAAAAAAAATTTCCTTCAGTGCGCTATTATACATATACATTTACATGTATATAAGCGAAGTTTCAAAGAAGAGCAAAACCGAAATGAATATGGCTTGAAAGTATTTCATCAGCATAGGTCGTTTGCTCTTGTTAAAGAGTGCAGAACGGTTTAGGATGAATCCCGTAGAGAGCTCAAAAAATTACGAGCAAGCAATACCAGTAGGTTACAGTCGTGGTTTTCATCTCCTTGTGTTTTGCACTCCAACGAATTCGACGCACTATTCGGATCATGTCACTTCATTTGGGTTACAAGAACTGTTGCAATTTCTTTCACTGTGACGGTTTTAGAGCTTTTACAAGTTGCCTGTGAAAACATTCGATATGTATTGACTAATATAACGAGGAAGTGCGCGGTGCACTTTGGTGTATCACCGATTAGTAAATAGGGAAATCAAGGAAGACTAATGTGTTTGGCAGTGGAAACTTTAACAAAAGTATTCCAGTATTGCACACTGCGAACACTTTGAATCAACTGTGTGAAGAGCCGTCAACAGTTGCTGGAGACCTACTTTCGTCCTCAAAAGGTTCGTCTGCAATAAAAACATCATGGATATTATCCTCAACTTAAAGTTTGTCAGGGTAACAATAACATAGTTTGTTAGCAAATCAAAAATATTTAGAAAATTCCTGAATGAAATTGAACATGGTACATCGACCTCTTTAAAGCCCAATCGTGATTTTGTCTGGTGAAGTTGGTGTAAAACATGTTACAAACGCCAGAAAGTTGACAAATGAAAGATGGCTACATTTTTAAAGCCAGCCAGATGGTCGATAAATAAAGGATTTCTGAATTTGTTAACATCCCATCAGTTGAATACTGCACCGTTGTCAAGGATTTTTGGCCCCCATAAGGCGCACTCAATCCACTTGGTTTTTTATATAATTGGAACACCAAGAGGGAACAAACAATGGTAACCTCCTAGGAAGCTATCTCGCACCATATAAATATATTTGTAGTGACCATTTCCAGACTATCTTTTCAGCACGGAGTTTGTACATGTCCGATTCAGTCATGGTACATCTAGTGACGAACATTTAGTCCAAGAAACTGTCGAGGGTGATGCTTACACTTTGCAGAAAACCCAACAGAAAAAGCGTTAGTTTTCTAACTTGGTTAATATTAGTCTTCACCGGGGTTGTGAGAGCATTTTTAGAGTTGTGGGACGCTCCGGTAAGGAGTCATCGGTTGATATGAAAACATTTTGGTTCGCATTACTCCGCCCGCTCCGTCTTGTTTTTCACTGCATTTCCGAATCAGATGTTTTCGATAGTGAGGGATATTTGTGTTCATGAGACAACCTTCGTTTAATAAATCAACCATTGAATAAAAGCAGGATTTTATTGTCATTTTCTAAGTAACAAAGAAGCATTTCTGAGGTCATCTATAACGTACAGTATTGTTCTGAAAGGTTTTCCCGGATTCATTCCTGATAGGGGTCATATCATGGAGTAAAACTTAATCGTGGTAGGTTCCTCGCCGGACCTCCAGCAGACCTAAGTAACCAGCATGAGGAGGATTATCACAGGAAGACGACAGTCTCCCGTACCGAATTAATGTGGTTTCAGTTGTGGTGAGCCGCTGCTGAAATTCCAATGAAGCATTTGCTGTGTTTAGAAAGAACCTGATGTGACCCCTAAGCTGATTTGCCCTGAGCGACGCTGAACGAACTATATTGTAACCACGTGATGTGCTTTGTCCTAAAGCACTGAATGTTTAATTTCTTCCATTAAATCGTTTGAAATTGAAATGAAGAAAATGAATGCACTTTTGCCCGTCTACGAACGCTTTGTAAATGACAGAAAGAGCCGTCGGGTACCCACTGGAGTCTAATTTTAATGGTTTGCTTGCTGATTTGCTGTGGAAAAGAAATCACCTTTGGGAGTCGTCTCCTGTTACGTCATCCACAGAAGATAATTTCGTTTATTCATTCGCACCCTTGCAATTTTCATTGCTGAAATCATGTAACCTGAGAACCCATACTCCGTTCCGCCAAGATATCTTAGCTTCATGACAAATATGGGTCGTTTCCTCTCAGTTTGATTAGTGTAAAAGATAATTTCAAGCAAACCTCACTAATGAGCTTCCTAACGTCCGAAGTTGAAGAATGACAGTATGTCGACATACAAGCTTCTTGAGGCATCAAAACATCACTTTTGCTCACAGGAATACAAAAATTGTGTTTTAAATCATAATAAACCTTTGAAACGTCGCCTTGTTTTTGTATTTGTACAAATCCAATACTAAACTCGGATGTGTTCTCAACCAGTATCCGTCAGCCTTTTTACAAGTAGAACAAAACAGACGAATGGCATATGTGAGTTGGTTTGTTTGAAAGGACCAATAACTAATTTGTCGCTTCGAGTTCCGTAATTGTTGCAGCTATAAATGGTTTTGGTGCTTGGTGGATACGCTCAAAGTGGTTGGTTAGATTTACATCTTTTGGTATCAGTCCTGTTCAACAGCTTTCAGTTCTGTTGACCAAACTGTCAACTGTGGTTTCTTTGCTTCTAGGCGTTGGGTTTCCATTTCAAATTCGTTTCCGTCTTGAGGTGTCAAATCGTTTAAACCTTGCCTGCCATTCTACACTGCCCGGTTGTGGTAAGATATGGAATGAATTAATACCAATATAAAACGCATCCGCATAAATTAAACATTTCAGTTATCTAAGAGAATGCCTTGGTGTCTTGTCTGTGCATATTTAGGAGAACGCGTGCAGGCGCCCCTATGTTTACATTTGCTTCAGCTGGAGAACCCCGGCATAAACACTACGTTTAGATAACCAGGAAGGCTGCCTGGTTTTTCATACTTGAAGGATGTAGTCCTGAAGTTCACAGAAGTATTGGGTTTCTGCGTTCCGTCTTGCTTTCGGCAATTTAAGGTTTCGTAGTAAGCACGAGAAAACCATCGAGACTGACAGATATCCACAAGCTTGTATTTCCCCCATGCAGCTGATTTAGAAATGACCAGCTATTTGCCGTGTGACTGGCTACATAAGACACTATGTAAAGATATGGCCCATCAACTTACAATGTTCAGTTATACTTTTTGCATCTGCACAAGGGTAGAGATAAGACAAAAATGCGGATGAAACAAGCATAGTAAGCTAAGGTGTCAGATTCATAGCAACCAATGAGCACAACTGAAGCAGTTTGAGAGGTTAGCATCAGAAAAGTAAACAGTTACATTCAATTCCGTTTTTATTCTTATCTGAAAAATAAACAAATTGTTGAAACAGGATACGAATCTGTCCAACACAAAGCTAGTAGTGAGAAATACTTTAGAAAGTAATCCTTATGTTCACTATATGTCAAAAATGTGTTTACTGTGATTTCTAGTCATGAACTTCATTTACACAGAGACAAACCGTCTCAGTACTCTTGATGAAAAGGTAGTGATTGAAAAAAACTTACATGCAAGAGCATTTTTCAAACCTGCGGATACCAATAGAGATCAGAGCAATGCACCATGAGGGCTTAATCATACAGCGCACTGCGTGGGAACATAGAATAATACATAGTAATATGGCGTATTTAGGCCGGAAAATCTATTTACTTAACGAAGACTTCAAAAAATGGTTAGGATTAACTATTTTTGTTCGTCAATCTGACTCACAATGTTAGGTCACAAAAGTTGAATGCTGCTATTAGGAAGGTTGATTCTTCGTAGATTTAGTGCCGTACATTGAAAAGATTTCTTGGCTTTGTGAGGCAAAGATGAAAACATTCAAGAAAAAACACGCTGATCAAGCTTCAATAAGGCCTGTACTGATTCGTCGAGACTTCACACTCATCTGGGTAACCGCATTTTATTTCCTTGTGATTTCGTTCTGTAAAAGAAGTCAGTCCATGCTAAAAAGAGCTAAAGATCAATGTGTACTTGGTTCATCCTCATAGGGGGGTAATAACCAGTAAGCAACTGAAAGATCGCCAGTTATTCGATTTTTTGTCATTCTTAGCTAGTGTTCGGGCACAAAAGCTACGAGTCTTGAGCGAGTGGTTACAAGACAACCTCTGTCTCATCACCTCCCCAGAGATCGTCCTTCTCTCACAGTTGAATCGTGCAAGCACTAAAAACTTCCCCGTCAGCTCTGCGCCACGTCAAACAAAATTAAATGGAGGAAATGCCATGTTACGTTAGAACCGGCGTGCAATGGTGCTGTATTATATGATTAACTGATACTCTGTGTTTGAACCTATCTTGCAAAAGCACATAACACGATGAGGGCTTTGGTAAAATGGTTTGAGATTCATGTGTACATAGATCTGACAATTGAGAATCTACTGCGGAAAACGCTGAAAATGAGAAAGGAAGATGTCTAATGTTTTGGCATTGAACATCACTGGTTATTATCTACGTCAGAATAGCTTAATGGTTTTCACTAGTTATGTGAGCAAAAATGTGCGGTTGCAAGACAAATCTAATTTAACTCGGATGTACTATGAAACTATTCTATTAAAACTAATCTATGAAATTCTTCTAACAATCCTTATGTGTTTGCTGGAGGTAATACTTTCCAATTATAGCCAAGAAAATGTTCGTCAGAATTTCTGAACATTTTTTGAGACGAAAGATGTTACTATGCTACAAAAACGATCAATGTATGCGTGATATACAAATGATTCATTAGCATTCCGAGAACCCTGAGGGGCCATCAAACTACATTAAAATGTGCAACTTAATAGTAATATGCCCTCAAAGCTCAAAGGAAAAAAGGTCTTGTCAGTCATATGAGATGATATTTCTTGGGGGGAGCAGTTTTAGTTGGTAATCAGTGACATGATATCAGAATGTCTGTGTGATTACATCATAAAAGTAGACCTTGCCTGTGGGCTAAGGATATACCGAAGCAATAACAAGAAGATGTTTATTGCTGCAAGTTGTAGAGTTTTTCTCGTGCATTGTACAAGAAAGTGAGTCGCTTTTAATGTGCGAAATGTTGAATGAAGCCTTTCTCATAACCGAGAAGGGATTATGAGGTTAACGAACGGCACTTACTATCCCATAGTTGCTGAACGGCTAAAAGTGTAAGTGATATAAACTAATGAAATATGCACATCGGTTTTCGACGACAGGCGTTAGCTTGGTCAACAAGTGATCATCCCCATTTAATGGAAATATGGGGCGGTAAATCCAAAAACATGACGCTGAATCAAGGTGA